GCACGAGGAGGAGGTCGCCAGCTGTTCTTCCCTGAACGTGCCTGCTCTGGTTGGCCTGTGCATGCCCATTGATGCCCGCTCCAACAGCATTGACTGCACGGCGCTGCACGAGCCTTTCTCGCCTCTCAAGGCCCTCCTGGCGGAGAGTGAGAGCCGCCGCTTCTACAACGGGACGGACCACATCGTGTTCAGTGCGGATGTGGACGACCTGATGGGCGAGCCTCCGTCGCACGTCGCCTGCCTCCCTGACGACCTGGACGTGGCAGGCTCCTTTCTGGTTTTCCATCGCTACACTCCTGACCTCCACCTCGAGGGGCTTTTCTTTGACCTGGCTGACCTTCCCAGCCACACCTCAGAGCTGACTAACTCGGTTACCATCATAGCTGACACGGTGGTTCTGACACGGCCCATCCCGCCTCTGCGCTACCGCCTCACGGTCTCTGCTCGCAATGTAGTGCTTGCTCACCCTATCCTGATGGAGGCGCCGACGACGCTCTATCCTCCCGCAACCACCGAAACGTTCTACCAGCTGCAGGTGTCGGCGGGGCGCGTCAACGGCGTGTCAGTGATCCAGTACAAGCACGGGCTGCTGACCGTACGGCTGCTGGACGGGGCCGACGTCGTGGCCAAACGCAGCTGCCAGCCTCTGCCCGAGTACAACGAGGATGAGGTGCGTGAGTGGGTGAGTGCCAGGCAGCTGTGGCTGACCGTGTACTGCAGCTCTGCTCTGCGGGAGTCTGACGAGCGTGAGACCCTGCTGTATGCCAGGGACCTCGCCTCCTTCGTCACCAGACTGACTACAAATTGGACCAAAGTAGACATGGTGGGCACGAACCAGAGAGCAACAAACCTGCTGTATGACATAAATTCCGCGCTGTCAAATTCACTCCTTCCCCGCAATGTCCCTTACCTCAGTGTCAGCGTTTATGCCGAGATGGTTCCCTACCTGGCAGACAACATCGCTGTCTACAAGCAAGCTTACGACGACCTGAGAAGAAAGCTTATGGTGAATGCTGAGCGACTCTTCGATATGAACATTCATTTCGAGGAGCGAAAAGCTGACCTGGAGTTCATGCAGAGCAACGCACAGCGCGCAATCGAGATGGCGGAGGAGGTGCACAGCGTCCATTCTGCTCAGCTGCAGAACCACGTGTCCTGGGCCATCAACAGCTGGAAGGCCATCATGGACATCTATGAAAACGTCTTGGCCTCAAGACCCCAAGTCAATGACGCTGTGGATCGGGCAGAAGCAGGCCTCCGGGCGTACAAGCGGCAGCAACGGTTTATCTCGTTTTTAAATGTCGGCACAACGTTCGCTCGCTGTATCATGGGCTTTCCCGGAGGCACGATTGGAGTCATAAGTAACGTCGGAGAGATCGTGTCAAATGCTTTCGAGTTCAAGTCATTCGATGAAACCATGGAGGAAATCACGGAGAAGATCGAAGCCGTTAATGTGATGATGGTCAAAACAGAAAACTTCATGTCCACCGTGCCGCCCCTCCCGCCCTCGGACGAGGACCAGCTGGCCTGGCTCATGACCTTCAACGACAGCGAGACGCTGTACGCGATCGCAAGGCAAGCCGGGGTCACTGCAGACCAGTGGGAGTCTGCGGGAGTTTATTCCATCAAGTGTCTTGCAGACGAAGACTTTTCTGACAAAGTTGACGGCGTGAAGAACCTCAAGATGAAGCTAAACGAACTGCGCGTGTGGAGCCAGGCCTTGGCGGAACAGGTCCAGGCGTTCTGCGAGTACGTGGCGTCCGTGCTGGAGGAGGTGACCAATCTGGCCGAGGACGCCGCGGCCGTAGAGGAGGGCAACGCGTCCCTCGACAACGTCAACGGCATGCTGGTCGACGAGGCGCTCACGGAGGAGAACTACAAGGAGCACATCGTGGAGCAGAACCTTGCAGTCCTGGACGTCATGATGAAGCTCTTCCTCAAATCCCGCTCTGACATTCTGGCCATCAATGTCATCCTGCACGAGTACTGCAGCGCTTACTTCTACGCCTTCTTCAAGGACTGCGACCCCGCCAACAGCCCCTCCCTCTGGGATAACTACGACACCATCCTCTACAAACTGAACAAGATCCAGTTCGAGTCCTTGAACTCCATCAGCTCCCTGAGCCCGCCTCCGCAGCCCTTCCAGAAGACCATCCGTGTGCTGGACTCGGACTCCGGCTGCGAGGGCGGCGCCGCCACCTCCGAGGGCGCCGCGTGCCCCGTGTCCGCCCTCGCCTTCAGCGGCTCCACCTCCTTCAACCTGGCGGAGTACTGGGGCGCCGGCCTCTCCTTCGGCGCCAGGATCAGGATGGACCTACTCAGGATTTACCTCGAGGGACTCCACGAAAACACCGTGAGTTGAAGCACTCTTCGACTTTCTGTAACAGGCAGGGAAGATTTAACAGGGCAAATTTGCGAGTGTCCGTAGACGCGATCTGATGACTCTGAAGGAATATTACTTACTTGGTATAAATTTAGTACGCTGTAGTAATTTCTTGATATCACTTGTCTTCTTCATATGATATTTAATTACGCATCACAACCAACTCTCCAAAATTAACCATAATAATAAAATACGAGTATATGCATGTACAGTCACAAACGTAAGGATATTAGTACACTTCTCAGAGAGTAATTTCGGCTTCACTGTTGCAGGTGACCATCGACGTGAAAAGGCCGGCCATCTTCAACGACACGTACAAGGGCCAGGAGTTCACCTTCCGAGGCCACTTGGAGGAGTGCCGCGTCAAGTACGAGGAAACAGGTAAGGCTGGCTCGGGCGCTGCGCCACTACGGGAGAGGGAGAGGGGGAGGGAGGAAGGGAGGAAGGAAGGCGAAAGGGGGGAGAGGAGGAGAGGGAAGGGGGGGAGAGGGAGAGAGGGAAGAGAAAGGAAGGGAAGAGGAGAGGGAGGAGAGCAAGGGAGAAGGAGAGGGAGGGGGAGAAAGGGAGAGAGTTAGGGGGGAGAGAGAGGAAGGGAGGGGGAGAGGGAGGAGAGAGAGGAAGGGATGGGGAGGAGGGATAAAGAGATAAAGAGAGATAGGAGGGAGAGGGAGACAGAGAGAAAAGAGCAAGACAATTTTTTTTTCATTGGTTATATAGGTCACCTTTCTATGAAAAGTATACACCGTTTTTTTTCCACTCACAAACTTCGCATAATAGCCACGTTATGATTCCCTATTCACAATTCAGCTAACACACACTTCCACCGCCCTTTCCTCACAGCTGTTCACACACCCAACCCTTCCTACGGAGACGAGAAAGTGGTAAGCTACGTGACGGACTGCAGCACCCACCAGCAATACCAGCTGTACTATTACCGTACTTCCCCCGACGGAATGTACACCTTCACCTGGCGGGACTTCCAGCAAGGGGTCGACTACTCCAACCTCACTGCCTTTGAACTGTACTTAGAGGGTAGTTGGATACCTAATTTCTAAACTGGATTCTTTTTTTTCTTTTTTTTCCCACATGTCATAATATTTCATGTATTATTAACCTTGCTGATGTAAATTTTTTGCTCAAAGCTGCTATCACAAGCAAACTTATAAAGATTCTCTAAATCAATTTGGCATTTGTATTTCCTGTTGTGTTTATTCAATTCTTGTCTATCTACATTAGTTAAAATGGTTCCATCTGATGGAAAGTAAAAATATCTTCACCTGATACAGAGTACTATGAAAATGGATAATGATTAAAACAGATAAATGTGCTAAACATCAAAGCTCATATAACATTATGGTCAAGTATTGTGGCAGAAAGGGTGAACACGAGTCATCGATTAGGATACGTGGACAGAAGAAGTGGAAGAAGAGATGGAAAAGGAAGGAGGGAGAGGAAAAGACCATGCAAAATATGTTAATGCAAGGGCTGAGCTCCAACGTAGGAATGATCCCTTCCACTGGGGCTCAGTCTCCATCCCCTAAGCCCCCACGTGTGTGTGTGTGTGTGTGTTTTAGTCTGTAGTGTTGTGTATGTGACGTATATGTTTTTATTACTCCTGTTATGATCATTATCATTATCATTATCATTATTATTATCATTATTATTATCATTATCATCATCAATATACGTATATATATTCATATCTATATCTATGCAAATATAAGCATTACATCCACATGGTAACCTTTCAACATAATCAAATCTTATTTTCATTCTAAAAATCCTTGGCTAAAAAGCATTATTCTGTATAATAGGTAACACGTCAAGCAACCCCAACAAATAAGCATAAATGAGTATAAACAGACACATACCTATTCCCTTTAATAGAGAGATAAAAGTACAGAGTTTTTTCCTCCTACTTCCGTCCATTCGTAAAAAAAAAGAGACACGAAAATAAATCTGACTTTCAGAATGGATGGCATAAGGAAAGCAAAGACATAAATAAAATAGAAATGTGAGATAAACAAAGATAAACTAAACAAGAGGGAGAATTATGGGTTTTGGAAAGCATAAAAAAGTTTATTGTAGAATGTATAATTTAAAATCATAACATTTAAAATAATAAGGATCATAAAGAAGATAATGCTTTCTTCAATAGTAATATCAAATACACTAATGATAATGTTAATAGCAATAACAATAATAATAATAATAATAATAATAATAATAATAATAATAATAATAATAATAATAGTAGCAGTAGTAATAGTAATGATAATAATAATAATAATAACAATAATAAATATGACAATTATAATAATAATAATAAATATGACAATTATGATAATAATAATAAATATGACAATTATAATAATAATAATAATAAATATGATAATAATCATAAAAATAAATAAGACAATTATAATAATAATAATAATAAATATGGTAATAATCTTAACAATAATCAAAATAAAGATTTAAAAAACTAAATAATTATAACAATAATAACAACAAACATTATAGCAATAACATTAATGATGGTGATAATAATAAAAAATAATAATAGTAAAGCTAATAATAGCAATAGCAGTATTAGTAATGATAATAATACTAACACTGGTAACAATAAAAAGATCATAATAATGATAAAAATAGTAATGATTTTGATACAATAGTAACAAATGACATTACAAAAATAGCAATAACAATAATGAATAGTGAAAACACTCTACCGATACTACTGTTGATACTATTGTAGAAAAACCCACAATGTAAAACTAGATTTATTGAAATTGAGACAACAGTTTCGGAATCCACCTGGATTCTATCCTCAGGCCTGAGGATGGAATCCAGGTGGATTCCAGAACTGTTGTCTCACTTTCAATAAATCTAGTTTTACATTGTGGGTTTTTCTACCAATAACAATAATCATCAATATGGTAACAATGAGGAAATCTTCTTAAAACACCAAATCATTTACTAAAAACATTAAACAAACAAAAAGATCTTTTGAACAGAAGCAACACAAGTGAACAAGAACATTTTTATGACTTCAAATGAATGGACCAAGCAATAAGTTTCCAGCTTTGCGCCTTCACCTATCCCCTTCTCCTCCTAAAGTAGCATTTTATACCAACTATTAATCAAGTTGAATATCCATTCCCATGCAGTCAATAAGTTACTTGCTACTCAACATTCCCTTGCAATACAAAATTAAGTTTTTATTCAATATTTTATTGTAATTTCAATTAATATTCATTGTCATTCAGTAGTCTCCCATTGCACCTTTATTTTACATATTATTGAGCACAATTACATAAATCTTAGTTGGGTGAAGAAAAGACTGGAGGTGACAAATCGTAAATATATTTTCTTAAAAATAAACTTCACGGAAAATGAGATAGGAAAGGACATTAGAAATTAAATAAAAACAATGTAAATTTACAAACACATGTGGCAAAATCCGACACTTTGTTTTTAGAAAAATAAATATTTACAATAATGTACATGAGGAATCAGAAGCCGTATTTCGCCTGGGTCTGCATTTTAGTCATTCGGTTCTGAGCCCAATTGTTCTTGAGTTCCAGCTCTCTCTCCTTGGCCTGGTGAGCCAGGAAGGTGATCTGGTGCTTCTGCTTCGTTCTCTGCGAGGGCATCCCCTCCCTCTTCTTGCTGAAGCTCTGCGTTGGCTTCTCTTCTGTCAGGGCCTTTGTCATCCACTCGTCCCGTGTGAGCAAGGCATCGTCCGCACTCACATCGATGAAGTTGATGGCCTCCCCCTTGCCGCGCCGCTTCCCTGTCAGACGCAGCATTGCCTCATGGTCGAAGGATGCTGGCTGTGGGGTCTGCTCCTGCTGCTCGCTAACTGGATAGAAGTCCTGCTCCTCATTATGAGTTTGATACGTATTGTCTGTGTATGCATAAGAGGATGCCACAGGTTCATTGACTCTGTCTTCAGATACAGGCAGGTTCTGAGAAGCAGGCGTTCTAGAAACTGGGGGCTCAACGTCAGGTGCAGTTGTAATTGAGGGGACCGCTCTACCCAGGGTAGCTGGATCAGGTGCGGTCTCCGAGAGCGAAAAGAAATCAGAAGACCCACCCGCCTCTGCTTCTTCATCAGAGTCATTTGCTTCCACCAAAGGCCTAACTTGCATCGGCGCCTTTCTTGGCTTCTTTTGCGGTGGTTCAGTAGGTCTTTTGGTGAGGATGTGGGGCACGAGTGAGCGTTTGGTCTCCTTCACTGCCAAATTTTTAGGCTCGGGCAACACTGCAAAGAGCCCTGTTCCCAGAGATGAGGGTTGGACCTTCTTGCGCTCAGGTATCTCTTTCTCTTCCTCCTCCTCCTCCTCCTCAGCAAACTGAAAAAAAGAGAAATAAACAGAATAAGATGGCTTGCCTGGAAGAGTTTTGAAACTTCATTCATGGTATAACAGTTTAATGCCTGATTGTAAATGAATATCTTTATGTATTTGTATATGTATGCCCTCTCATTATTTGACCCACTGCCAATGGGGATGGCATGGACACACATGATATGCCCAGTGTGAGTTTATTAATTTTGTTTACACACAGTTGCCTCTACAAGTCACATACAGGCTCTACAGCTATTATGGCTCTACAGGTATTATGCCACAGGGAGTCAATTACTAGTCCTACCTATCTCATTGGTTTACCCTATTCCATGACTTTTGGGAAAAAAATACTTTATAATATTATAAGTATTATTAATTACATCACAATAATTATAATGCCAAAAATGATAACAACAGCACTGATATTGATATCATTAGAAAAAAAGTATTTGTGGAGCCATATTTGTCATGGTACATTGAACATTACAAGATACCAGTGGCACTGGATTAAGCAATATGATTGACTCAATTATACACACACACACACTTATATTATGTAAAAATTATATACAAATATTAGTAATAAAACATAATCACAACAGACAATACATATGCTCAGCATCAATGGCTTAATATCAAGTATATTATATAATGTAGATGTTGACTGTGTGTGCATATTTAGCATCAAATCTTGCTCATTATTTCAGAATATAAAAATGCTTATATAAAGTGAACATATGAATATAATGCTTCCTCAGCTCAATGGAATACTTTAGCTAAATGTATTCAACCTAATAATTAGCATCTTAGCACAAAAAATCTGGTCAAATGGTGGGTGACAGGAATGTCTCATAAAAATGAGAAATATACACCTTAGAAAATGGATATACAGCAAAAAAAAAGTTATAAAAAAAATCCAGAAAAACATCTTTAAAAATTCACATTATAAAGCACTACCACACAGGTGTGAATTCAGCATTATGCTAAGATAGGCTTCTCCTACTATTTTAACCCATTCGCGACGGGTGCCACGTGTATGTGACATGCCCACTGTGAGTTTACTTGTTTAATTGATGGCTACACTTGCACTTGTACTGCCTGTCCCGCCCGTTTACCCTTTTCTTTAATTTACGAAAATATTTTGTATCTTATTTTGCTGTTACTAATGTTTATAACATTATAGTAATTATAATGTTTACAATAAAAATAACCATCGATATTCATAGCACTAATAAAAATACACTTCCCTGCCATTTCAAGGTAAGGTGAAATCGGGTAAGGCAGAGCCATCTATGTGAAGAGACATTTCACAAAAAATATAAAAAATGAGCACAGCATTTTCCCCTTTTTTTGTTTATTTTTACCCGTCGCAAATGGGTTAACCCCTTGGTGCCGGGTGACGCCGATCGGCGTGTAAACAAAGCGCTCGAAAGTTGGCATGCAGCCAAACGAGCCGGCGGCGCGCCAAAGCGCGGCGAGCCAGTGATTCGGGCTGATGTCCCCTACTCACGCGCCACCTTTGTTTGCTTAAGCGTAGAGTTTTTTTTTTGTTTTGTACACCCAGCGCCATTGGGTTAAGAACTATCACACTTAGTTGGTTTCTGAAAAAAACAAATCTTGTAATGGGAAACTAAAAATAAGTCATGAATCAATCCTTGGGGTGTAAATCCTATTAATAATAAAACAACATACACTCTGTATCTCCTTTAACTTTGCTATGGTATTCCATGACATATTACAGTGTGTATTGCATATCTCCTGTTGTTGAAGCAATTTTAAATATTCTAAGCAAAACAAAGAATAAGTGAACAAAGATCTAAGATTTTAAGTTATTGATCACCTGAAAACTATGCTGCTCTCTTCCATTACAGATCGCAGCAAGACTGAAGAGGATATATGAAGAGAATGCAACCAATTTAATTACAAGAAAAAGTTCTTGGTTGGAAATAGCATTTTTCCATACCTAAAGTCAAGTTATCTAAATGACAAAAAATAAAGCCTACAGAAACAATCATTCATCACTGAATTTCAAACAGCTTGTGTATGAATTTTTTTTTTCTCTGGTCAATAAGATCCTGACATCTTACTGATCTGAAAAATTAGATTTGTCATCTGGTATTCATAACTAACTGATTTATGGCAACTAATCATTACATAATAAAATGCTGCTGCATTCTTTTGTCTGGCATGCTATTACACTGTTTTATTCCCAATCAAATTTTCTTCAAAGAATCTATAAAGTTACACTTGCTTGCTCTGTTTTGCAGAGAATGTTTTATTCCTACCTTCAGCTATTCATACAGGTTCTAATTATATCAGTATTCAATCTATTACCTCTTGTCTCTCTTTCATTACTACTGCTCTCGTAGGTGACATAAATGATGTGTATCTGAGTCATTTCTGCACATAACCATTTTGTTAAGGTATTTTGTACAAATTATACAAAAGGACTGCACCAGCTACAGAAAAATGGTGACTGGAAGTGAGACCAGGGATAAAGCCCCCAGCTTGGGAAATACTGCGATTAGTAGGAAGTTAGGAAACATATGTGAGGTTAACACCTTGGTGCCGGGTGACAACGATCGGCGTGCAAACAAACCACTTGAAAGCTGGCATGCAGCCAAACGCCGTGGCGGCGCGCCAAAGCGCGGCGAGCCAGTGATTCGGGCTGATGTCCCCTACTCACGTGCTCAAAGTCGGCGCGCCGCCTTTGTTTGCTAGAGCGTAGAGTTTTTTTTTTTTGTTTTGTACACCCGGCGTCATTGGGTTAATGGTGGGAGAGGGAGAAAGAGCCCAGAGGCAAGTGGTGAAGTTTTCAGACCAGCAAAAGCTCATAATCCAATCTGTAGTGCAATTATGATTCCATCGGGTAAATACTTGTGTATTAATGTTTAATTATTTTTATGTGATCGTCCCGATCATTTACATATCATTTCATCCAGTAAAGTAAGCAGAAAAAAATGCATTCTCAATTTCGTATATGCAAAATATTTCACTTTAAATCTATTGAATTTGCAGTGTGTTATCCCTTATTTTGTTATCAGAACCACATAAACTGGCAGAGTGTTATGCAAAATTTACAAGGGCCATTTATTTTGCCTTGAAAAACACTTTCAAATGATACCTGAAAGAAAGAAATTGTTGCAAAAATAAGAGCATACTAGCTATAATGGAAATTCTCTGGTGAAAAAAAAAGTCCTTGATTATCAAAATTACAAAAATGCATCATTAACCCTTTGGTGCCGGGTGACGCCGATCGGCGTGTACACAAAGAGCTCAAAAGCTGGCGTACAGCCGAACGAGCCGGCAGCGCGCCAAAGCGCGGCGAGCCAGTGATTCGGGCTGATGTCCCCTACTCACGCGCTCAAAGTCGGCGCGCCGCCTTTGTTTGTTTAAGCGTAGAGTTTTTTTTTACTTTTGTACACCCGGCGCCATTGGGTTAATTCTTTGTTCAAATACTTGGGTCAAGTTCAATAGTGATAATAAAAGCTGACAGTAATTTTACACAAAACCACCACAATGATTTTGGTATCAATGGATTCCTTTCACCTTCTCTGATACACATATATGTAGGAATGATGTGGCAGAGCCTCCCCAAACCCCCACATTCTTGGCCACAATTGCAGGGGAGGGCATGAAAGGTAATGTAAATTGCTGGGCAAAATATGAATAATATACACAGAATCAATTTCTGTGTTGTCTAATGCAGAGGGCTGTGCCACCTGCAACAATCTCCGCCCAGGAAAACACAAAATCCTCAATGTGTTTACAGAAGGAGAGATCACTGGACTAGCTCGGCATTAGGTGCTCTCGCATGTTGATCGTGCGCTCTACCCTGCTGTGAATACATGTAGGATTTTTTGTTTTCCTGGGCGTTGGTTGCCGGGAACACAGCGACCTGCACTAGGCGATACAGTGACTGATTCTGTGGATAATACTCATATTTTACCCTGCAATTTCCCAGGTACTTTCCACTCCCTCCCCTGCTATCAGGACCAAGACTCACTAATGGGGTGAATTTTCTTAACATAATATTTATATATTTGTATGGTAGAGAGTGCAAGGAATCCCACCTATATTGAAATCATGGCAATCAGTTATGCAAAGGTATTGTGTAAAATTACTAAGGTAAAGAACGCATGAAAACAGAAAGCTTTACCTCAGAAAGGGACGGAATAATGAATTGTATTTTTTTCTTCTCCTTCTTCTTTTTAATCGCAACAGATGCACTGGACGCACTGCTGCTCTTCGCGTCACCGCCCTCCTCCTTCATCTTCTGGGTGACCTTCCAGGTGTCCACCGTCGGCACATCCGTCACCTCATCCACCTCCTCACCTAAGGGTATGTTGGCCCCCAGAGTGCCGGCGATAGGCTTGGCACGAGGAATGGCAGCCAGCAGACCAGTTCTTGCCTGCGTCGCGACATCCTCGTCGAAATCCACGATGTCCTCGACGCCCGTGCCGCCGCCCCCCTGGTTCGCCACGCCCGTGCCGCCGCCCCCCGGGGTCGCCTCTGGCCTGGGGTCGCGCTCGGGGTCGGTCGGGGGAACGGCCCGCTCCTTCTCGCCGCTCCCCCACGCCCGTTTGGCCTTGCTCTCGCCGTTCACGGTGGCTTTGGGGGGATCCTCGACATCCTCCGAGTCACTGGCTAGGTCGCTGTCGTCGCTGTATGCAACAAGGGCCATTGCAAGACCGTGTTTTGCTCCTTTGCATGTGTTGCGATTGTTTACTCGGCTGCGTTCGGACACGTTGGGAGTAGCATGTCGCTTGTTGAATTCAAACTTCGCCGTTATCTATACATGTCGGCTTCAATTGTATCGTGAGATATATTTTTTCGTTGAAATAGTAATAATGGTATGGCAACTTTCGCTAATTCTAAAGAATAAATTTAGCAATCATTATGTTTTGAAATATAAGTAAATTCATTCGGACGCGTTCAAAACACAACCTGTTGGTTCTTTTCTACGCTTTAAAATTATTTTTTGTTCGATATCGACTACTGAACACAACATAGGAGTAAATTATAGTATAATGTCAATCAAAACTAATATGTCTTTATGATAATCACAAACAAACTCCCGAATACTTTGCGCGAGTATGAACTACATTTACGTTTCCTCTCACTTCAAGCTAACATGAAATTTCGTAAAATTCCCTCTCAATAATTTAGATGCATGCCAACTGAACTAACAAATAAACCGCCGCAGTCTATAGTGGCTTGATCGAATGTCTTCATTTTGGAGGGAGCGGCGTCGGGGGCCGAGCGGTCGCCATGGCAACGCCCAGGGGAGGCACGCCAGGGAGTTACGTGTTACCTGTTCCTCACTCTCCTCTTGGGCCCGTTTTTCACCTGAGTCGGATGACGTACGCTTTCCGGGGATCGCCAGA